TTCAGTGGGCTCAGCTGTGGCCTCAGGGGTCTGTGCATCCAAGTAGTCACGGTAGGGGGCCAGGCTGAAGACGTTGTCTATGATGGGCATTGGCGGAGAACTGGGTGGTCTAGCATTCTCCTTCTGTGGGAGAGACTGGTGCTCCTGGGCACACGCACGCAGTGCTGGTGGAGTTCGGGGAATGGGGCTGTCCCGGATAATAATGGGCCCCCCGAGGTGCTCATCACTCCGGGGCTGGGGCTGCTCTTTCCTGCAGCTGGGCAGCCACGTCTTCTCTTCGGCTTCTTGTGCTGGCTTCTCTGTAGGCCTCACAGGGTTGGAGCAAAGCCGACTAGCTGGCAGAGGCTGGCATACGCGCTGGAAGGCACTGGGCTGTGGCACAGGCTGTGCACTATTCTGGGGAGATGGTGTGCTTCCCAGTCCTGGGGATGCTCCACAGAGAGAGAGATTGTCCCGGACATATGGAAAACTGAGTGTCTGGGGGGCAAAGTCCAGTGGGTACTGAGGGGCAAGGGGAGGATCCAGCTTGAGGCCTGGTGAAGGGGCTGGGATGGGGGCAGAAGGGTAGGAATAAGTATCCAGCCCCGATGGGGGTATATAGGGCGTCTGGGATGCCTGCTGTCTCAGGTAGGAGCTGCCCAGCCCACCAGCCTGGTACCTGGTCCCCTTGTGGGCTCCCAAGGGCTGCAGTGGGAGTACAGAGCTGTAGCCACCCTGCTTCCCCAGGCGATGACAGGCTGAGGAGCAAGGCAGGGCCTGTGGAGGGGGCGGCAGTGGGTAATGGGTGGGCACTGTTTCCTGGAAGGATGGCCCCAGGGGCTGGGCCCATGGATTGGAGGGCCCTTCCGATACTGCCTGCTTGGGGTCCCCAGAGTAAGGAGCTGTGTACTTGGGGGCCAGGAAGCCTGTGTTGTGGACTGCCCGATATTTGTCCAAGAATGCCTGGCACTGGGAGAAGCCTAACGAGGTATCTTTGCCAGGTCCCCCAGCTGGCACCCCACGCAAGAAGGTACCATCAAGGGACTGGCCCTTGCCAGAAGCAAGAGAACAAGGAGGGTCAGCTGATGGCAATAGGGACCCAGGTACCAAGGTCCAGTCAACATCCAGAGGCCTCTTTACTGGCCCCTCGCCCAGGCAAGTGGGCAGCCCATAGCACAGGGGGCTGCGGTAAATGGGCTTGGGCGCTGCCAGCAGCGGGCCTGGGTATGGGTGAGCCTGGGGGCTGAAAGGCAGGAGCTCCCCGGGGCCTGAGTCCTGCATCTTCTCAGAGCCTTCCACCGGTGGCCGGTAGAGCAGGCAGTTGGTCAGCAGGTTGTCTGCTCGAAGTGAGGGTCCTGCCATGCTGGCAGGGTACAGGGGTGGGTATGGGGTCCATGATGCCAGCCGCTCTGGCCCTGCCTTGGGGGTGCCCCCCATGGGGCAGGAGAAGTAGGCTCCTTTGTAGCTGCAGGGATCCTGGCTGCCAGCAGTGGGGGGCAGGCTGTGTCCAGGCCCTGAATCGGCTTCCAGGCGGGGCAACTTGCCATACATGACAGGACCCAGGGTCCCCAGGGGCCGCTTCTCCGCCATTGCTGGGAAGGTGTCAAGCCCTCCAGGGACTCTGCTGCTCCACTGTGGACCTAGGGAAGAGAAGGACGTCAGTAAGCAGGAGTGGACAAGGCACAGGCTGCAGGCCAGGCTTTCTGGCTCACAGCTCCTGGACAAACAGGGACACTCAGTGGGCTCAGGTTAGACCATACACAGGAGCCATAAATATGGGGGGTCTGTTTTTTGAGGGGTGATTTGAGACAGATAGGGTCTCCCTATATACTTTGTTTTTTGGTGGTTTTTTTTTTCTTTTTTTTTTTTTTTGTTCCGGGGAGCTAACATGGGTCCTTGCCCTTGCAAGGCAGGCAGCAGAACCGCTGAACTAAATCCCCAGCCCTCCCTATATACTTTATGCTGGCCTGAACTCACTATGTAGCTCAAAGGCACAGTGATCCTCCTGCCTCTATACAGATGTGTGCCACCACATCTGGCTCTGACTTTTTTTTGGGGGGGTACAGGGGATTGAACCCACGTCCTTGCACTTGTGAGGCAGGCGGCGGAACCACTGAGCTAAATGCCTGGCCCTGGCTCTGACTCTTATTCTTTAAACTGCAAAACCACTTGTTGAGGCCAGGTGTCATGTTGCACATTTCTAATCCCAGCACTCAGGAAAATGAGGCAGAAGGAGCACCTCGTGTTCAAGGCAGCCTGGGCTACAAAGCAGGAGTAACCAAAAAAAAAAAAAAAAAGCCTGCTGCATCAAAACCACAGAATCCAGGTGTCATCCACAAACCCATCCATCCATCCTTCCTTTCTTCTTTTCTTTCATATGGGGGATTGAATTTAGGACCTTGTATTTGCAAGGCAGGCAGCAGAATGACCTAGCTTAATCCCTGGCCCAAGATTTCTTTTTTTAAAATGGTGGAGCTAGGCCTCAAATCCAGGTCCCTTAGGCTAGGCGTCAATGCTAACTCTGGGCTTGGCTCTGTAGGGTAATCAACCCCCCTAAGAGAGGTGGCCCAGAGCTTGGGTCCATACCAGCCACACCTCCCAGCAGCAGGGTCCAAGCCATCCAGCAGATGGGGCTGCGCTGCAGCAGGAAAGTTCCTGAGCAAGGGGAGAAGCGCCTGTGTCCACCCTGGGCCTCATATTCCAAGGAACCGGATGTGTGTGTGTGTGTGTGTGTGTGTGTGTGTGTGTGTTAAAAGAGCCCAGAGAAAAAGGACCCAAGGATCCAGAGTGCTCACTGCCTCCTACTCCCACGGTACTCTCAGTGCTGGAGAAAGTCTAAGGCCCCAGAAAGTCCAAGGCAGGGCCACAGAAGGATGGGGGCCAATACCCAGAAAGGTCAACGGTGAGCCAGAAAGGTCCAGGGGGGCCTCCTCAACACAAGAGGCACTCAATGGCCACGAAGGGCCCCATCAGACCTGCTGGGGCTACACTGCCTCTCCAACCTCTACTCCATCCCCCAGGGTACACCACATTCCCTAGGATTCTCTGTGGTTTCAAAAGGATGAATCAGCTCAATCTTGCTACAATGAGGCCAAGGGCCAAGTGTCACAGGTTTGTCGGCCCTCTCCTCCCATCTGGCTGGTGGCCAAATGACAGCAAGAGGCTCAGAGACCAGTGAGGAAACAATGGGAGGGTAGCAGAGGCCTGATGCCCACTTCTCCTAGCCCAGCCCAACTGTGACAGGGAGCTAGGCAGGGTTCCCAGAAAGAGAACTGGTCCATCTGGCCAGCATGCAATGCTCAGGGGCACTTGGGGAAGGCACGAGCAGCAGCAGGACTCAGGTCACAGTTCCAGCAGCAGTGCTGGATAAGGATTTACATCCCAGGGTTGAATGATCTGGGGGTGCTGCACCCTTGGGGAGCTCAGGATTTAGCACCTCTTTGGTCTCAACGACTGTTCCCCCGGACCTGCTCTATATCCATCCCCAGCCTAGGAGTTTTCCTCTCCTGGGCCCAACCTAACCCCTGCCCTTTGCCTTGGAGGCTTCGGGAAACCCCTGGGGACCCAGCCACCAGGCACCAGGCAGCCTTGGACCCTCAGGAGTCCTGGAGGGAGGTGTAGGGGCCCCAGGGAGCAGAGGCGACCTTATTTCCTGTCAGTAGGGCCCCTCCCCATGTGGAGGGTAGCCAAAATGTAGGTGCTGCTACTCCACCACAAAGAAATGACAAGTGGGTGCTTGGAGGGTGCCTCAGGGAGCACGACCTGCCACCCTCGTGGGGAGGGGATTCTGTGATTCTTAGCTGAGCTCTAGCCTCAGCCAGGCCCAAGGCCTGGTCCTGAGGACCAAGGGAGGGACAGACGTAGACATCAGGATCAGACAACGGTTCCATTAGCACTGCCCGGTAAGGACACTTGGTGACCTATGCCCAACTTCCACCTCCCTGCGTCTGGGCACTCCTCGAGGCGGATGAACCCCACTTCCCCGGCCAAGCTCCTGATTATCCAAATCACCAGTTGGGAGGGCGGATGTGGGTTCGGCTTGACCTTCGCCCCACTGCCAGCAGCACCGGACCATGCAGGCTTTCAGGTGTCCCATGCCCTCCCGCTGGCGCCGGGAGCAACGCGCCCCAGTAGACTGACAAACAGGCGCCGCCGCGCGTGCATCCAGAGCGTGCTCGAGCTCACACGGCCCCCGCCTGCACCCGCACACGTGCGCA